ACCTGTATGGGTAAACTGATCAGTGAGGAGCAGCGAATGATGAAGCTGTCATGTCCTCTGTTCAGTCCTAACCTCGGGCTAGAGGTCTGACATTGTTTAACTCCTACAGCTAATTTTTCTTGTACTTTTTTATTTGACAAGTCATGTCTTAAATAATAACCTACAGGCAAAGCTTTTTCACACAGCGGTCAGGTTTGTGGACTATTTTACTGCCACTACATGTCACATTTCAGACGAGTGGAAAGAAAATGTTGGTTGTCCACGCTGCCTGCCCGGCAGGCTGACAACAATACCTTATCAGCCTTTTACGGCTGTAAATGTATCAAATGAAAATTAATTCTGAGACCAAAGCTACAGTTCAGCTCTCACCTTCAGCCTTCATCGCCTCTCTGAGGCCCCTCGTGGTGGGGGAAATGAAAGCAGTGATGCTGCTGGATCCTCCAAGACCTGCTGCCCGGAACAACACTGTGAACTGACAATGAAACAGATGAGCTGAAGGACGGTGTTGCTGAGCACAGTTCAGAGTGCATATTAACACCTACCTGATAGGAACAGAGGTAGAAGTATGGACACAGTCTGGCCTTTAACAGACTGTAGAGAGATGACAGACTGACGGACCTGAGCAACAAACATGGACAAAGGAAGGAGTGTGGGAATAATGCCACTGAATACATGTACAGAACACAGCAGCCAGCGTTCAGCAGCTTCACAGTACACACAGCATTCATTTGGACTCTGGCTGCATCGAGTATTTTGAATCACAAAAAAGAAACCTCAACAAGGCAGCACCTGTTCCTGGACACTCCACTAAAACCTTTACTGGATACAGGCTGGCGTTAAAACACCTGTTTCACTTTATAACTACGCCTGACCTGTTTGTCACAGCTACAGTAAAGTTACATTCAAACTCACAGCTGAACACACGCACACATCACCTGGTCCAGGAGACACAGCAATGTCAGAAGTCTTTTTAAGGATCATCACCATGGAGCTCCACCTAAAAATGCTACTTCATTGTGTGGCTGCTCTTACTGGGCCATGAAACACTTCACTGTACAAAGGTTCGTTTAATGTGCAACCCTGCTGTGTGAGATTTAAACCCATCTGTGAAGCTGGACTTAGGAAAGAAGTGTTTAAACATGTTTAGTGCTAGTACAGAACGTGATGTCACTGATGGTTAGCTGGTTGCTGCTAACAGACTGAGTTTGTGTTAGCTAACTGTGACAGAGCTGATAACTCGGCGGGAAAAAAGGTCCCTGATACTAAAACAGTCTAAGGAGGTCGTAACTTCCTTCTGTCTCTGACAGATTTATTGGGGCTACTCAGCCTAACAATGACCTCTTTCATCTACATCTCTTCGGACCTCCAGTGTAAAGATCTCAAATCTTAGAATCAAGTTCAGTTTTTTTTAATGATTCAATTATCAATAGGACATATCAGTGAAACCACCTGTCAGTCAGTTATACATAAAAATGGCTGTAATTCCTAAACAAACAATATTTTTATTAAAATCCGTCGAGTTAAAGCTGAAAGTCTGTGATTCAATCGCATCTTGATTCATTTAAAATCAGGACAGAGAGAAAAATGAAATCACTGCAGTAAAACTTGTCACCCTATCAGCCTCACCATTCTGTCATGAGAATCTGCTGTATCGTTGCATCATGAGCCCAGGGGGCGCTCTTGCCAAAGAAGCTCCTTTCAGCGTTGATCCTAGGGAACAGAGACAGCCAGGGTATGGAGGGATGCTGCCAGTAGACCAGGCTTTGCTGGAAGGCACAACGTAGCTCTGAGCAGGACCTGGGATCCTATAGCAGGCACAGAGACAGGTCGGGCTGAGGAACAAGCTACTGAAGAACCCAAGACAAACTAAGAGCTGTCGGGTATCCATATCAGCATACTTTATTAATGCCTAAGGAAATTATGTCTTTGTTTTAGACTGAGAGTCAGAATCATCAAACTGATCCAGGTTTACATGGAAACTGTGACACTGATCATCTCTGTTATTCTGTGATATCATTTTTTAATTTGGTTACAGAAAAAAAAATCTGGCTGAATAAAAAACAAGATTTTAGGTTTAAACATCTGAAGTAGGTCTAAAATTTTAAAGTCATGAAATGGTGAGGGCTCAACAAGTGCTGAAAAAGATATTTATTTGGAGGGCTGTAACTGGTGTCACTAGTGTCTCAACATATGTGACTATTGTGTGCCTGTCCATCTTCCACATGTATGCAATGAGCCTACCTGTGGACTGTGTGGCAGGGAACTGAACTGTGCCCTGCAGTGCTGGCTGAGCCCCTGAGCTTCTTCCTGAGCCTTGAGCTGCTCTGCCCATGAAAGGGAGACCAGAGAGGTCAGGAGGAGACGCGTCTTCAGGCTCCAGTCTGCTGGATACTGGGTGCACACGGGAGCTGCAGTGGGAGCAGTGGCTTGGGGGCTCTAGAAGGACAGAGGGGGATCCTTTGAATGCACGGTTATACACTGCACAACAGAAAACCTGGGAAACAGTGGCAATTCTCACAGATATGTCAGTCAGCATTTTAAAAAATACAGAAGAAATTCCCACATTTGGCAGGGGGCTTTTAATATCCTCCGGTTCTTCTTCCAACAACACATCACTCTCAGACAGAGATCCAGATTTCTGCAGCAGGACACAGACAAGAAAGTAAGAGGGGGTCCTAAAGTGTCTCCCTTCATGTTTACATCTCTACCACATAAACACAGGAGCTTTCTGATGATACGGGCAGTGCAAAGGACCGAGACCAACCTGGCTGGAAGCTTGTCGGTATTCCTGTTTTTGTGCCTCATCGAGCCTGGAACTGAGAGCCAGATCCAACGTGCCTTCTCTCTTCGATGATTCTTCATCTCGCTCACTGTTTGTGATCCCGGAGCTATCAGAGTTTTCGGGGTTACAGCTGGCGTCGTTGAAAGTTAGACGTTTCTTCGTAGGACTGTAAGTGTTTTCTATTTTTGCGAACGGGTTCCTGCGCTTTATTCCAACCCCGGAATGGTTCTGGGCGCCGGAGAGCGGTTCCGGGGAGAAAGTCCGCACGCACGTCGGAGATGAGCCGCTTTGTTCGAGGCGGTCTGTGGACCCGGCACCGGTGTCGCTTCGGGCTCTTTTGCACCTCATTCGCAAAATTTCCGCTGGTCGCTTGAAGCTGGGTGAGTATCCAAAGTGTTCCGACATCCTGTGGAGATGCAGTTTGCCCCAAACAACCCGCTTTTAGCGCTGTTTCCTTTAGAAAGCGCAGGACCCGCGGCTGTTTTTGTTTTGCGCTTTCTGAGCTGTAAAAATTTGGCGCGCAGCGTGCTGACGTAAAGAGTCCCCGCGTGTCAATGGCTGTGAAAAGGAGCTAAACGGACGTCATTTGCTTACGTTTGTTTTTGTGACGCACGTTAAAAATAAATACACAATAATCTACAGTGTTAAATGCAATTATTGTATCTGTTGGAGCCTTTACTCATCGGGAACTTTGGACATTATGGTAAGTCAGGATGTGACGTCGTGTCGGGTTTTACTACATTTGAATTGTATGATTTAAATTAATAATTTAATAATAATCAGAGACATATACACAAGGAGATGTTGGAACAGTTTGAAAACTTGAGGGTTTGTGGAAAGACCTTTTCAGAATAACACAAGGCAAAGCCTTGACTTCCGGCTTTGACTTCTTCTCTTCCTATATCAGCGCTTATGTGGCGATATTGTCTGAGTGGCGACGCCTATCATCCAGGAGAATACTGCAGCGGCTTCCTGTGCCTTACCGGCGGATATACAGTGACGAGTACCTGGAACTTAGAGGGGATTTGAGACAAATTTAACGTCGCCAGCTTCGCACAGATCCACTAATGTAAGCTGCTTTCATGTTCCAGGGTAAAACTGGGACATTTGGGCTTCCATTGTATACCTGCATTTTGTTTTCAGATGAAGTAGTTTCTTTCTTTTCTTTCTAAAAAACAAACAAACTTGAAAGCGTGATTTATCATTGCAGACACTATACAGTAGCCTGTAAAGGTTAGTATATGGTTTAAATAATCTGTTGTTACATGCTGAACGCTCTTCTGTGGGGAAAAGCCAACCAGCTGCAGACAGAGGGAAAAACATGGTTGTATCATCCTCTCGAGTGAGTATAGTTTTCCTTTTCAAGATCAGCTCTATAAATTCGCTATAGGCTCCTCTTGTTCATGTGTATCTTTTATCAGTTTATCTATTCGTTTCTTTTTTGTGTCATTTCAGTTATTACATTATGTGTGGTATAGTATGACAACGTCGAAGGCAGGACAGGCAAGAGGAGAAATAAAAGGGGGAAGGAGGGAAGAAATAAGGGAAAATATAATAAAAGGATAGTGGCACGAGCCGAGAACAGGGTCCCAGGGCTCCAGGCGCCCAAAAATTGGCCAGCACCTGAGCCAGAGCCCCTTAACAAGGAAGAGGTCCAAGCCATCCCATACCAGCAAGGGAGCGGCTCAACAACCACACCAGAACATCCAGCCACGTGCCGTTGATCCCTCCCTGGGATGCTGCCCCTCCCTACATCCCAGGGAGGGGCAGCATCGTCCAGCGGAAAGTGGTAGGAAGAGGGAACCACTCCCTCCATGACCATTTCCCAAAGGGGCCAAGGCTCTGCAAGCCCCAATTCCAGGTCCGGTCATGAGCTTACACTGGATTTTTGAGCCAGTATTTTGTACTGCTCTTACTGCACCATTGCTTATAAATTGCTCCACACTGCAGTTTTGACATCACAATAATTTGCCTCGCTTAGTAAATCTGTCCCATGGCATATAAAATTAAATACATCTTATTTTCTTATATTTTATGGTTGTGGTCCAGTTTAACCCATTTCCTCCTTCCTGGTTAGAATTTCAAAATAGGCCAGGGGTCAAAAAGAGGAACACCAATGCCCTGTTCCAGACTAATATAATCAGTGTTCTCACAATCGAGGTAAACAAGGCAAACAAGCTAGAAAACGTGGTCCCAATATGATCGAAAAGCTTAAACATGACTAGAGTTTGCTTATGAAGAAATCGATGGCATTAACAAAAGAAAAAAACAAGCTCTTGAGAAAATATTCAAAAATAGCAAAGTGATATCAGTAACAGATTATCTGAAGCAGAGTGCTACAAAAAAGGATGGCGTCTGCATCTGTACACTGAGAATGAACAAGAGAACAGGACATGAGACAGAAAGTATCCTGATTCTGTCAGAAAGCTGCTACCGAGCTCAGAAAGAAGGCAATGATTGATGTGACGCACACGCTGGGCAGACGAGCCATGTGCAATCATCGTCCTCTGCTCTGTGAGAAACATCTGAAAGAGAGCAAACAACAGTTCCTTCCTGAAAGAGAAGAAGCTTCATTTTGGTGAGAACGAGAGTGGTCAGAGCAGCGCTGTGGAAACAGCTTACATCCAAAGATTCTCCTACTCTGTCTATAATCACGTTTTGGTTGATTTCAGCAGAGCTTGAACTGAATATAAATGAGGCAGAAATGTTTCCTGCTATTTTGAAAGACCACAAAATTTTGACACTGACACCAAATATCAGTAAGTGGAACAATAGAAGGGGTTAGGCTCAGACTAGCTCACTTCTGAAGAGTGAACAGCTCATATCAGATATAAAGGATGTTATAGGAAAGTCCTGGAATTTGGCCTCAAAAAGTAATGTATGTGGAAAATACTAATTTCTAAGGTTTTAAATGAGAAAGATAGCCACTGCATATGGCAAAAAATAAGCACATAAAAATAGCTCAAAAATAGAAATTTAATTCCCCAAACCAACAAAGATCCTTTATTTATTGATAACTGGAGACCAATTACACTCAACAATGAATATAAAATTACAATTTTCATAGTAGCAAAGCGTTGAAACACTGATCCAAATAAAAGAATTCAGGAATCCCACAGTGGATTCATGAGTGGCATTCATGTCTCAATAATATTCACCTGATTTTGGAGCTAGTTAACTACAAATAATGGCTTGTTGGCAGTCACCTGATTTTATTCTTTATTCTCTACAGTTCTCCACAATTTTATCTTTAACTCTAAATTTTTAAAAATTTGATAACTTTTTTTTATCAAAGCAATCAAGACCTTATCATCGGTGAAACTGCCATCACTCAGATTAAGAGGGGAATTTTGTCATGGCCGTCCCATCTCTTCTTAGCGGTAAGCCAAATTCTGAACCTTTCAATAATCCACCATAAGTTTAGTTGCATTATCTTTAAATATACACAAGTCACTGTCTCTGGGGTGACTGTAGCTCAGGAGGTAGAGTGGGTCACTTTAGTGGTTTGATCCCTGTCTGCATAAATAACCCCACGCTGACTGTTAGATAAAAAGCACATAAGTATAAGAAAAAAGTGATTGTATTAATGGCAAATGGACTGATATGAATGGTGCTTTTCCACTCGCTCAAACACAATAATAA